AAAGAGTGTTTGTGCTGACCAGCTTGTTCTCTTGACAATACTCTACTAGCCTTTGCCTTGCTTCATTTTGAACTCCAAGGCCAAACTTGCCTGTTGTTCCTTTTATCTCTTGACTCCCTACTTTAGCATTCCAGTCTCCTATAATGAGAAGAACATCTTTCTTTGGTGTCAGTTCTAGAAGGTGTTGTAAGTCTTCATAGAATTGGTCAATTTCAGCCTCTTCCACATCGGTGGTTGGTGCATAAAGTTGGATTACTGTGATGTTGAAAGGTCTGCCCTGGATTCATATTGAAATCATTCTATCATTTTTGAGATTGTATCCCAGTACAGCTTTTCCCACTCTTTTGTTGACTATGAGAGCTACTCCATTTCTTTTACGGGATTCTTGCCCACAATAATAGATATGATAATTGTCTGAATTGAATTCGCCCATTCCCGTCCATTTTAATTCACTGACACCCAGGATGTCAATGTTTTTTCTTGCCATTTCCTGTTTGACCACAATGCAGTTTGAAAATATGCAACCAATTCATTTTGCTGTCTCTCAAATAGGAATCAAGTCTAAAAAATCTGCAGGCGAGATGACTTGTTTGCAAAAGGTTCCCAAGGTTCATAGATCTTACATTCCAGGTTCCTATGCAGTATTTTCCTTTGCAGCATCGGACTTTTTTTTCACTTCCACTTCCAGGCGCATCCGCAGCTTAGCATCCTTTCACCTTTGGCCCAACCACTTCATTAGCTCCAGAGCTACTTGTATGTGTCCTCTGCTCTTCCGCAGTAGCATGTTGGATGCCTTCTGACCTGAGGGGCTCATCTTCCAGCATCATATCTTTTAGCCTTTTGTTTCTTTCATGGAGTTTTCTTGGCAAAGATACTGGAGTCGCTTGCCAGTTCCTGCTCCAGGTGGATCGTGTTTAGTCAGAACTCTCCACTATGAACTGTCCGTCTTGGGTGTCCCTGCACAGCATAGCCCATAGCTTCTATGAATTACTCCAGCCCCTTCACCATGACAAGGCAGCAATTCGTGAAGGGGACAATACTATACTAGGGTAAGCAAATTATCAAGGATAGAACAGTTGATTTTAATAAGTGAGACATTATACTTCTGTATAAAAAAGAAAGGAAAACATATCCACTAGACATCAAGAGTTCCATCAACAAATAACCTAAAAAGTACAGAAAGTATAAAAATTGCAAAGTGCCAAATATTAAGGTATAAATTAAAATAATATAAAAACAAAAATATGTCATCATACTCCTACAAATTTCATTAAATGGAGTCATTCCAAAACCTCTGCTGAACAGTTTAAAACAATTTCCAATAGGTAATAATAATAATTTGTCTAATAAGTCTAATAATTTGCTTCCTGAAATTAAAAAAATCAATACTTTTGCAAACAAGTCATCTTGCCTGCAGTTTTTTAAGACTTGATTCCTATTTGAAAGACAGCAAAATGAATTGGTTGTATATTTTTAAATATGCATTTTGTATATTTTAGCCATAAATATGTTTTCTGAGCTGGTTACCCAACCATAATAAATACATTATCTCTCATACTGTTACTATTTCCAGGAATCCTAACTTTCCAAAATTTGTTCCAAACCTGATTTAAGCAGTTGTTGATAGCTGCAAACCTCCAGAATAATTTTGCTGTGGCACATCGCTCTAGCTTGGGATGAACGCTGCAAGCTCCTTTTATCTCTAATTATCTCCTTGTTCAGTGTGTAACACAGAATTGTTTAAGATTCTTGCTAATTGCAAAATGCATGCTCTGGTTTTGTGTGTATAGGACTGGGGTAAACCTGGAGACCTAAAGAACCTTGACATCCAGTGGCATGTTCCATCCGCTGAAGAGATGGCTTTTTCTTATGAATTGCTGGATTCATTTCTTCAACCAGAGCTCAACAAGTTATCGCACTATGCAGATGGAAATCTTGAAATGTCCAGGTTGGTAGAAGTAGAGTTGGTAGTTGGGGGTGTTGTCTGAGAAGAGGTACAGGTTAACTCAATTTTGATTGTCAAGATTTCCTCATATCAACTCTGGAATGAGGGGTGATGGAAATATTACCGTATTTTTCCGTGTATAAAATGACACTTTCCCTTAAATAATTAAAGGAAAAATTGAGGGTCATTTTATGCTCAGAAGTAAGAAGAGGGGAGGGATCAAAGTGCTTTGATCCCTGTTTTCCCCTCCACGTTTTGCAAAAAAAATGAAAGGGGAAAGCGATTTTGGCTTTCCCCCTACATTTTTATTACAAAAAGCAGCTTCCCTCCTCCAGGTTTGGTAAAGAAAATGGAAATGGAAAGCGATTCCTACTTTACCCCTATATTTTCATTGCAAAATGTTTGCAACGAAAATGTAGGGGGAAAGCAGGAACTTTCCCCCTCCATTTTCTTGACGAGAAAGAAATTTTGATTTAGAAAGGTGGGGGTGTTTTATACATGCTGCCTCTTATACACAGAAAAATGCAGTACAGTCGTGCCTTCCAAGACGATTTTACTTTGTTCCATGAAAATCGTTATGTGAAAAAAAATCATCTTGCGAGGTTCCCTATGCATTTGGTCTAAAAAAAAAAAGTCTTGCGAAGCATCGGTAAAAAAAAAATCTTGCAAAGCACAGTCATTTAAAAAAACATATTGCGAGGCACGATAGTGATTGCAAAAACCAAACGTCTTGCGGGTTTTTCGTCCCACGAGGCAATCGTCTAGCGAGGCAGCACTGTACTTTTTTCTAATTGATCATAGGGCTCAGTATTTAGTAGCTTAGTAATCCTGACAGCAGACCTGTGATGAGAACAAATAACATTATCCCTGTGTCAGAGATGTGTATGTGTGAAAGAGATCTTAAGCACACATTCAGTATGCATCTCAGCTAGTCTGGGCTTCTGGTGTGCGGTTGATGGTACCAAAAAGAAATGACAACAGTCTCCTATTATTTTTTATGAAGGAAGTAATGTTCAAATCTCTCAACAACCATAACAGAAGATGGGCACAGCCACTTTATACCTATGAGTTACAGATCTTGAGCGGATAATTTTTTTGTACTCTGTTAGAGAGGGTTGCCCTTACTTTTCAAACCTTGAGACGTGGGGTACCGAAGAGAGCCCTCTAGTGTTGGTAGGCTTAATAGCGGATACAGTACAATAATGGCAGAACACAAATAGAAATGCAGCTGCAGCTGAACTATGTTTGAACATCTTAAATGCTGAAATGTATTTAACATTTACTTCCAGAGATGATGTGCAACAGTGTCTTACCATAGTACACAATTGTCTAATTGGTTCTGGGAACATTCTCCCTGCCCTGAAAGGAGACAGAGTAACTCACCTGTAAGTATTTTTTCTTCTATGTATGTAGCAAATGGAATGATTCACACTAGAGTAGATAATTGCCAGGATTTTTGTGTTTTCACCCATTATTAATGACCAGTTAGTACTCTATCTTTTCGGTTAATGACTAGTTAGTAATATATTTGTCATTTCCTATGTCTATTTCTGCTTTGATTTTGTAGGGACCATGTCACTTTCGGTCATATGCAATGCAGATAATCTTGAGCTGTTCTGATCACACATTTGGAGAAAGAGATTTTCATTCTCAAATGTAATCCATGTAGTACTTCTGTTAGTTTTAGCATGACACTTTGTGTTAAGTGACAAAATGCTGGATAGGGACGAGCATTTACCATGGTTCATTGGTTTGGCACGGTTCAGCAGATTAGGCCCGCAGGTGTTGTGTGTGTGCCTCGGATTCTGCACTCCCTCCTCTAGCAGGCAGTGCAGTGGGCTTCCTTGCCCTGTCTTCTCTTCTGAACGGGTGGGTACCTGCAGGAGGAGGCAGGCCAGAGTCTGGGACACCTATGCAACACTTATAGGTCTGATCCGCCAAATCGTGCTGAACCGACAAATCTTGGTAAGTGTCCCTCTCTAACGCTGGATATTAAATCTTTATTTCAAAAACAATTTTTGATGGTATCCATTGATTCAGTGAGATTTAAAGATATGTGTATACATGCAGAAAGCTGGAGAGAGAGAAAGAGAGAGATTTTATATAAATCAAGCTTGCTTATAAACATGTATTGAAGATCATAGTAAAAGTAATAGTCCCAACTGAATGTTCACTTTACATTCAGTAGTTGATCCAGTGGGCCTATTCTAATTGGGCATAGCAACTAGTCCAAGTTATTATCGAGGATTGTTATCCTTCCTTAAAAAAAGCATGCTCCTGCAGTTCATCTTCCAAAGCTAAATGAACTGAAGATTCTTAGCAGCACAGCACAAACAGTGCTTCTGTCTGTGCTGGCTGTGGTTTATCTCTTCTATACAACTATTTAATAAGAAGACATCAAGGGCTTTCAGATAACAAAGTCTGGAACATTTTACCAAAGACCAGCTTAAAACTTCACGAATTAATAAACAGTTTTATTTTCTGCAGTGTTAAGTCTGAGTTTCCTCCAGTGATGCATTTTCTACAGATACCATCCTGTTCAAATCCCCAGTTTATTCTGAACACTGGTTACCTTAACCTACATTATCTAAAAACATAGGCTATAAGGTTACAAAGGACAGTGAAACCTGAAACACAAAATTAGCTGTTCATTACTGTTGTAATATTACTAGTCAAGGATTTGCTCAAGAAAATCTTTGCAAAAAATGTGGAAACTGCTGTCTTTATTCTCACTGTAAAACACTCAACAATGGTATGATTATGGCTTCAATTGATTTCTGTCTTTAAAACCATATTAAAGGACAGAATATCAGGATGATTTCCAAAGATTTTAATGGTGACTAAATGGGCTGGCTAGATAGCTGAGTGATGTAGGTATCTGGCTTCTGAGCCAGACACAGCCACTGTGTCTCCTGCTAGTATCCTGTGTGGTCATGGGCAAGCTGCACATCCCATAGTACCCCCAGAAGAAGGGAATGGTAAACAACATCAGAGTATTCTCTAGCTGGAAAAAACCTTGAAAAGGCTTGCTATAAGTTAGAATTTAATTTAAGGCACATAATTTTTATATAATTAATAATGGAAACCTGAGAAATTGCATCCATGGCTGCAGGTGCCTTGTTTAAACAACATTTATCTGTTGTGTCTTCTGCAGGGTGCCAAGTCTAGTGTCCTTAGAAGAGATCAGACTTTATACTGGTGTGGACTATGGTAAGTGAGCCCTAATTCTTAGACAGAAAAATCTCACTGCTTCTCAGCACATTAGTCAGCTAACTCCTTGTTAGAAGGTAGCAGCTGTTGTTCAACTGCATTTTTAAATTCATACCGCAGTACACAGATACTGATATTCTATGCAAGGAGACTCAGGTTAACATCCCTCTACTTATGCACAATTATAAATGCCCACATGCTATGTCAGGTGAGAAAGTGCTTATGTATAGAATTGATTTAGAGTGTATTTTTTAAAACTTCTACCTCCAAGAACAGACAGGACCACTTTCCTAACATTGAGTTTTACATCAGTAGGCCCTTGTTTTTGCGTGTCTGCATGTGTTACAGTCGACAAACCATTGCTCGTTCTTTAGAACAAAAATCTGATCTGGTCTTCTTACACTATAAAAATGTTGTGGGCTTCCTTATGCACAGTGACAAAGCTATTTGCAAATACAATGAACATCTTGGGAAGGTAGTGGACCTCCCTTCATTGGAGGTGTTTAAAAAGGATTTGGATAGCCATTGATTAAGTGTGGTTTTAGCTAGGGATTTCTGGCTTGAGTGGGGGGTTTGTTTGTTTATCAACAAAATGCCTATATGTTATCTAGTGGCATCCCACTGCTTTTGGGGGGGGTTTCTAATAAAAGCATATAATAAATACAAGATAACAACCATCCTCCCAGCCTTACTTTGGAAATATAGAAAGCAACTCACAAAAGGCACGAGGTGGTGACCACGGGCAAGAAGGAATTGCATAGAAAAATGAATAAAGTCAAAAATAACAATTGGAAAGGAAGATGGTTCTAAAATGTCTCTCTGAAAAGCAAGGTTTTAATGTCCTTTCTAAATGCCAGGGAAGTAGGAGCACCTTGACAGATAGTGCATTACACACACAGGTGGCCACTACTGAGAAGGCCCAGTCCCTGGTCATGGACTTCTTGGTCTCCTTCAAGGTGGCTACCTGCAGCATGAAGGCCTGGGAGGTGCAAGTAGCAGATCTCAGGGAGAGACCCTGTGACAAGTACAAAGAAATGAAACCATGCTGCTTACATACTGCCACATAATGCATAAGCACTCTCTGGGTGATTTACAGTTTAATTATGCAGGCTACACACTGCAGGCTACACATTGCTTCACATTGAGTGAACCTTGAGCTGGTTACCTGGGATTGAACCTGGGTTGTAAGAGTTTGAACTGCAGTATTGCAGTTTAACCACTGTGCCACAAGGCTCCTAAAGAGGCCCCAAACCATTTATTTAAAGGTTTATATGTCAGCACTTTAGTTCTCTGCTTCTAGAGTAGTGACTGGGTATACTCAGAGGAAGACATATGTGCTGAGCAGTACCTAACAAGGAAATGAATGAAGAAGTCCCTGTTTTCATGTGAGCTTTGTGTGTGTCTGTATGCTTGATTATACCTATATCTGAATCTTTTTGGGCCTTCCATGTAACATTGTTGGGGGGCGGTTTCTTTTTCTTGTGTTTATTTTGCTATCCTTGCTCCCAGTGACTTGTGCCTTACAACACTGTATAATTTAAAGCATAAGCTTTATAAATAAGGAAGATTATTTACTTTTCTAGATTTGTCAAGGGAGAATTACAGAGAAACAATCAGCAAAGTCACAAGGAAACTTCTGCGTAAGTAATGTTTGCAGCTGCCTTTTCCCACCTCCCTTACTTCTGCATAGATGATTTAAAAGATTTGTAGTTCACTGAAGTTTTGAAATGTAACTTGATAAACTAGAAATGAAGGAAACAAAACCCCATTGTAATTCATTCTTGGTTCTCTGTAGAGCATAGACAGTCTCTGTTTAAGTAAAGTGTCCAGTAATCTATAAGTAAGTACTTTAAAGCATTTTACTGATCTAGTATTTTCTCTCTGCCATTATAGATTATGTGCTTGACAACTCGGAGGATGATATTAAGTCTTTGTTCCTCATAATAAAGGTATGGTTGTAGTTCCTAATATGTTTTCCTAACATTTCACAGTGAGCGAGTGAATTTTTTTTCATTTAACTTTCCCCCCATTTTACAGATCATTGGGGACCTCTTACATTTTCAGGGGTCACACAAGCATGAATTTGATTCGCGGTGGAAAAGCTTTAACTTGGTGAAGAAATCTATGGAGAACAAGGTTGGTTTGAGTAACTTATCTAAACATAAGTAGCATTTCAGAAATTGTTCTCACCAAAGAACAAGAGTTGATGCAGTTGTTGAAACAGGGGCACTGTAAAGCAGAGGTGTACAGTCTTGTGTTTTAAACTGTATTTCCCCCCCTCTCATTAAGGTTCTTTATTGCCTTTCCATGTTATTATTTATTTATTCCTTTACAATATTTTTAACTTCTCCTTAAAACGGACCAGTGGCAGATTACAATTAAAATACAGTATTAAAGCTAACAACAGAGGGTAAAAGGATCATGACTACAGTACTTTAAAAAAAACATGAGCATCAACAAACACATTCAATGCCGTAAGGTACAACAATTCATTTAAAAACAGCACTCAGCAGTCAGTCATTCAGGGAAAGCTTGCCTGAAGAGAAAGGTCTTCACCTACTTACGGAAGGGCAGTAAAGAGTGGGCCAGCCTGGCCTCTTGTGGGAGGGAGTTCCAAAGTCTGGAAACAGCCACAGAGAAGGTTCTCTTCTGTGCCCCCATCAGATGCATTTATGAAGGTGGGCGGGCTGAGAAGAAGGCCTCTCCTAGTGATTTTTACACTCTCATAAAGGGAGATGTGGTCCTTGAGATAGCTTGGGCCCAAGCCATGTGGGGCTTTATAGGTTAGAGCCAGCCATTTGAATTTTGCCTGTCGACAGATTGGCAGCCAGTGGAACTGCTGTAACAGCGCATTATGTGATACTTTTGTTCAGCCCCAGTTAGCAGTCTGTCTGGTGTGCACTTTGGATCTGCTGAAGTTTGCTGACACTTCCCAAAGGAAACCCTGGGTAGAGTGGGTTACAGCAATCCAGTCAGTATGTAACTAAGACATGAATCACCGCAGCCAGGAACGATCACAGCTGGCGCGTTAGTTACAAAGGGGCATGGCTGCACGGGGGGTGGGGGGTGGAGACCCACCCAGCGGGGCTGAAAATGAGAGGGAATGTTGGTGGTAACTGTGCCAATACACTCCTGGCCACTGCTGAAACCTGGACAACCCAGACTAAGAGATGAATCCAGGAGGACCCCCAAGCTGTTCACCTTAGCTTTCAGAGGAGTGTAAATAAGAGATAATCCAGCAAAAATCCCAGAATGCATGAAGTTGTTTTCAGGTTCACATAATGGATCTGCTTTTCTGTTTATTTGCAGCTTCAAGGCAAGAAACAGCATATTAGAGCACTGTTAATTGATCGAGTCATGCTGCAACATGAGGTAAGGTGTGGTTTTTCATGGACATTGTTACTGGTCATCCCCTTCTCATTTGTCGTATCGTAAGCTTGAACTTGGATATGCACAAAAGGGGAAAAATATACAAATTTGACATTTTTTGTTTAGCTGCGAACCTTGACTGTTGAAGGCTGTGAATATAAAAAAGTACACCAAGACTTGATCAGGGACCTTCTGCGTTTGTCCACCAGTTCATATGGCCAGGTAAGCATGGATCCTTTGTGTAGACAGAACATTAAGGATGCTGATTTTCCAGCTAGTGTTTGCATGGAATATAGTGCTGTTCTCAGAGTTGGGAAAGATTTGTTTTGGGGTGACAATTCCGAGATTCTCATAGCAAACATGGTCACTGGCCATGTTGTCAAATACTGTAGGAATCAACCGGAAAAGAAGGGCATTTTTTCCTGCCCTAGCACCCCAGCTGTGGAATACCCTCCCCTTGGAGGCTTGATTGGGGCCAACATTTTGCTGCCCAGTTAAAGCATACTTATTTATTAGAGCATTTGAAGGTTGAGGTTCATGGCCTGCGTAGGTTTGAGTGTTCAGACGTTTTAATTTTGTGTTTTAAATGGCTTGATTTCAAATTGCTCTAATTATCTTATGTTTTTAAATTGTTCTACACAGCTCTGTAACCTCATTCTGAGAAGGTGTGATATTGGGTGGGCTAAATAAAATAATTTTAAAAATCAAGTAGGTGTAGAGGAAGTTGCTGCTCCGAGTTACAGGACTGGGGACTCAGCAAACCACCTTACAGACAGAAGCTTATTGTCCCTGTATTTAATTTGGAAATGAAAGTCTGCTGTGTTTCTTTCCTTAGGTCAGAAACAAAGCTCAGCAAGCATTTTTCACTGCCCTAGGGACTTACAATTTCTGCTGCAGGGACGTAATTCCTTTGGTTCTGGAGTTTTTGCGGCCTGATGGGCATAATGTCACTCAGCAGCAGTTTAAAGTAAGGTTTCTGTTAATTTTCTCTGTTGTTTCTGTGACACTGAATAAACTGTATGCAATGTGCTTGTTAGTTGTATAGTCATGTGGATGTACTACTTGTAAGTAGTGTCTAGTGAATTATGGTAATCATGAAAACCAAAATGACATTAATGTCAATGTGCCCGATGCTTACTCCTTTCTAAGTTCTTCAGAGTGCAGTTTTAACAATACTGTCCATATACCTAGACGGCAGGTTGTGTTTTTTATTGTCTTTCCCAAAAAAATGTATCATTCTTTCCCTTTGAAGTACCTATGACCTTGAGTCTAGACACATTTTTAAAACATTTTAATTTGGCTGGCTGGTAATGGTGGGCTTAAGCCAGTAGATTATGGGGAAGCATTTTAGTTTTTCTTTACTTGCGTTACATGTGAATAGCTTAGGTTTTTTTTCGCAGTTTTCTTTCCACATGTAACATATTGTTATGGAATGTACAGGAATTTGATTCCTGTGTACCAATTTGCTTTATGGGTTGCAACTTATTTTGCAGTTGGAAACGCCTTTTAGATTTACATTTTTGTTACAGGTGAAGAAAACGATAACCATAAAATAAAGCAACAAAGTTTACAGTAATTGTCTTCATTAGCACATTTGCAGTCGTGATAGCATGAGGGAAGCCCCGCTGTGCTGAACAAGCTGATATTAAAATATAACATGAGAAACACATAGGTTGTTCCCACCAGTGTTCAAAACTGGCTGTACTGTGTACTTCTTCTTTGCGGTTTCTGTAACCCACACACCTGGTTACTGGGCTTGCATAGAGCCTCCTTTGGAACATTCCAGAGCAGAGCCATTTAGGAAGGAGCCCTGCCTCCCCAATCTACCCACCCCTGTAGTTGTGCAATAACTCAAGCTTCTCAGTTCCTTTTTGTCCATCGCCAGAGCAAGATAGAATTTGAATACCTGCTGTGCTGAATGATCTCTGTGAGGCTTTGGGCCTAATGCTTGTTACTACTTTTATAGTAGACTTTGGTCTAGATGGACAGGGTGTAAATTTAATAAATGAATAAATAATTTTTTTCTTACTTCTGCCTTTTCTTTTCTTTTCTGGATTTTGGGTTTTTGTGCGGTCTTTGCCTACCGTTACAATCTCCAAATCCTCCATTTGTGGGGATAAAATATCTCCCATGGATGGTTATTCCCACTGTCTTCTTTGCTTAGGTGAATCCCCCCCCTACCAGTTGCCCAGAGTAGACTTCAGTCTAGATGGGTGGGGTATAAACAAACACATATACATGCATGCATGCATGCATGCATGCATGCATACATACATACATACGTACATACATACATACGTACATACATACATACATACATACATACATACATACATACATACATACCAGTCCTTTCAATTTGTAAAAGTTTTCCTAAGCAAGGTGTTAGACAATTGAAGCTAAGGTGTTAGACAATTGTGGGAGGAGCAACTTTTAAAGGCATCAGACCAGATGGAGCAGTATTACTTTGCTATTCTTAGAATAGCAACCCTTGAAGTTAGAATTTCTCAAAAACCGTATAGGCTACATTGTGCACAATCAACAACATTGAATCTTTTCAAAACTATGACCTTAATTTTAGGAGAATAATTTGTCTTAAAACTTAATTTCTGTAGGGTGCCTTGTATTGCCTTCTTGGAAACCACAGCGGAGTGTGTTTGGCCAATCTCCATGACTGGGACTGCATTGTTCAAACATGGCCTGCCATTGTCTCTTCTGGGCTTAGCAAAGCGATGTCCCTGGAAAAACCATCCATAGTTAGACTGTTTGATGATCTTGCAGAGAAGATCCACCGGCAGTATGAAACAATAGGACTGGATTTCACAGTAAGCATGAAATAATTATTTCACTTAACAACTCTTAACAGGAATAGCTGTAGTGAGGTATTGCGAGAAAAGAGTCTCAATACCAAATGGTGCAGTGTGCAAATGTTGTAGTGTGGTATGGCTGTTGCTAAGAACATTAGTCAGCAATAATGTTGAGAGGTAAATGATGTACATGGAAAAGCTTGGGATGTGAAGCCAACATTTTCTGAATGTTTGTTTGTTTGTTTGTTTGTTTATTTATTTGTTTAATTAATTAATTAATTAATTAATTAATTAATTAATTAATTAATTAATATTCCGCCCACTCTACCCAGAGGTCTCACGGCGGCTTACAATAATTAAAATTCAATACAATAAAAATAAAATGATTAAAATACAATTAAAATTGCCATCATCAGGACCCACAAACTATTGACTGAAACCAAGTAGTACATTGCAGTTTGAAAAATTCCTAGTGGGGATTTGGTGAGAACTCCTGTAAGTCCCACTGATTCAGTGGGTCTACTCTAGTTGCAATATTCACTGCGAATATCCACCATTTTATTCTCACTTTGCACTTGGTCATGATAAGTCAGTGGTTGAACTTTTGCTTAGCATAGTAAATTGCAAATAGAGGGAGGACCATTGAATCCGGGGAACCTGTGGAGGCTTTCACTTACCAAATCCCCACTGATCCAATGGGCCAACTCCAGTTGCAACTAGTACTGATTTCAGCCAATGATTGCTAATTGATTTTATTGTTCCTGTGGATGAAAAGGTCCAAATAAATGTGACAGCCCAGAAGCTGTTGGAACCATGGAATGTGGAGCTACTGTGAGAAGGAAGAAGCATACACAACATCACGTGTGCACCTATATGTAGAAAGTGGACACGTTTGATTTGCTCTGTGAACCAGTATTGGCCAGCCATAGCTCATAACAAGATGATTTGTTATCTTGTTGCCACAAAGAATTCAAGGTTTGGGGGGAAGTAATAGAGAGTGTTTCAAGCACACTTATGGAAATACTTTAAAGTTTTCTAAGGATGGAGAGAAAGGTAGAAAGAAGAGTTGTGGAGATGATTTGAAAGGTTTTATAAGATGAAGCTAGACTGCTGGACATTTTGAAATATTTTCCTAGAGGAGAGATGAAATGAAACAGTTTTTATTCATTTGTAAGACTGAATACTGTATGTTATTTCACCACTGCTTTTTCAAAATATCTATCTATCTATCTCTCGATCGATCTATCGATCGATCATGCCGCCCACACTACCCAAAGGTCTCTGGGTGGCTTACAACAAAAGCTTACTGCACATCATTAGGGAGGGGTCAAGATTCAGTAGAATTCCCAGGATGGTTTATATGATAGTCACAACTCAAGATGAAAAGGACAAATGGCAATTCAAAGCCTTAAACCAAACTTTTAGTCCCAACTAGAGCAGACCCACTGAATTAATGGAACTCACATAACTGCTGACTTACCAACTTCCCACTGATTCAGTGGCTGAAATCTTGCTTGTGATGGGGGGCTGTGTGTGTGTGTGTGTGTGTGTGTGTGTGTGTGTGTGTGTGAGAGAGAGAGAGAGAGAGAGAGAGAGAGAGAGAGAGAGAGAGAAGGTCCTTATTTGGCCAGGAGCTCTATTTGTGTTTCTTTTCCTTTCCAGGTTCCAGAGAAATGTGTTGAGGTTGCTGTTCTCATGCAACAATCAAGTGATCCACCCAGTGGATGGGCGAGACTGACTTCAGAGGAGATTCAGTTGGGGATTCAGCGGCAAAAGGAAAGGAATACAGAATCCTCTCAGTAAGCGCAAAAGCCTGGAATGAAAGAACTCACCATACAGTTAGCATGCATTACACTTACACTAAGAAGTTGCTGTTCAACCATTTTTGCTTTTCTTCTTCTTCTTCTTCTTCTTCTTCTTCTTCTTCTTCTTCTTCTTCTTCTTCTTCTTCTTCTTCTTCTTCTTCAGCATTGAGGAAATCAGAGATACTGTGTCTGTCTCATATGAGCAACAGCATGCCTGCCTTCAGACCTTGGAAGTAATGTGTTTGAAATAACAACATTACCTGTAACTTGTTTACATTTTGGGGTAACAGTGTCAGTTTTTCAGGTTTTAACACTAATGCATTTATTGGGTTACATGTTACTTCAAAAATGTTGCTTTTTAGCTTATTTTAGGGGCTGAGCTACCCATTTTTGGTCATTTTTCTACTTATAAAGATACTAATTTGTTCCTCATAAATTGGTGGGTAATATTTTAGAAACAGAGATAGAGGCGGATTTAAGCCATAGTTGACACTTGTCTTTGGATTGATAACAGACTTATTGGGGCGTGTAGTATTTCCTAAAAGTTTTGCATGTATGTTAGCTTGTAGAAAGCTTTTCCTTTGCTACAGAGAATCCAGATTCTTTGGACTGGCACAAAGCCAGATGACATCCTGCATATTGTTGCTGAAATGTCCCAATATCTGAAGGTTTCTTTTTGTTTTCAGGAACTATGAAAGTTTGATTAACAGGCTGTTAGACTGTGTGGATCAAAGAAATCTGTAAGTGTTTTTATCCCCAAATTTAAATCCTGCTCTCATTATTTATCAATTTTTAAACAGGACTGTGTATTATCACCTGCTCCTTGTCTATCTTGCTCAGAGTCCTGTGCCAGATATTTTTCATTGAGGGTTTCCACTCATATAAAAAGAAATCAAAAGAACACCCACCCCAGGATTTTCACTTGAGTCAGTACTACTTGGTCATTCACATGAATGACCAGAACTTAACATCAGTGGGATGGTTGATGAGCTGATAGTAAATAGTTGGTGATTTGCCCAACAATTGCCTTAGAATGGCTTGTGTTTAAGGGAACCAATGCCTTTTGGAAATTTGTTGACAATGGATCACACACCATCTCTTGGCTTTTAATATTTGTCTTTGAAAAAACATCATCAAATTAATGATGTAAAGTAAAGCACAAAATAATCTTTGTCTTGAAAGAGCAGCCCCAAACTTTTATTCTTCATATGGGTACCTTTGCTTTGCTTTAAAATTCTGTAATTTAGCAGACTAGCTGTTACTGTGTTTTACTACTTCCATTTCTTTATGGTCAAGTGAAAAAGGAAATTGAAGAATGTGGTGGCATATGTGGTTTACTGGAGATACCCTGTTTTAAAGTAAATTTAATATGCATATGTTCGTATAAAAAGAAAAGAACACCTACCCCCTGGGTTTTCACTCGATTCAGTACTACTTGGAATTTAACAACAGTGGGATGTTTGATCAGCTGATAGTAAATTGTTGGTGACTTGCATTGCATTGATTTCTGTAATATTCATATATGAGCATTGTAATGCAATTTTAATTTTGGCATAATAGCAGAGTAAAAACATTTTTTCCACCAAATCATCAGAGTTAAATCATAATGTGCCAGTTTTGGAAAGGAATGGAGTTATGGTGGCCAAAAGAGTTTGTTTAATACACTAAATTCTATTTAGTGAAATCACTCTGTCAAACAGGATTGATTAGTTTCTCCTTTCTTTCTCCCATAACTTTGTTTCAGGCCTTGGAAGTTTGAGCACATTGGCATTGGTTTTCTATCCCTTTTATTAAGAGATGACAGGGTGTTGCCTGTGAGAGCCATAACATTTTTTGTGGAATGTCTCAACCATGATGCACTCGTCGTTCGCAAGGTAAATATGCTAAACTGATCGCAGTGCAAAGAGCATAAGAACAGTGTGTAAGAGTAGTCATGGGAGGACGCAGGGGTCTGTTTAGTCCAACATTTTGCTCATTATGATTGACTGGATGCTTCTGGAAAGTCTCAGCAGAAGATGAATAAAGTCACATACTTTCACTCTTGATTCCCAGCAGCTAGTACACAGAAGCAAGCCATCTCTGATACGGAGGGCAATGTATAATATATTCCACAGTTTATGTGCTGATCCTGATCCCGGTGTTCTTAACCCAGCAGTCACACAATTGTTTTCTTCATAATATCAAAGTGATATTTCTTGCTGATCTTGTTTACACGGTACTTTTCTTACCAAACAATAAAAATAAGATTTGCCAGGTATGTAACAGGGCAGTGGTTCCCAGTCTTGGGTAACCCAAGTTCTTGAACTGCAATTCCCAGAAGCCTTTACCACCAGCTGTGCTGGCTGGGGTTTCTGGGGGTTGCAGTCCAAGAATACCAGGGTTACCCAAGGTTGGGAACTACTATTGTAGGGCACTACTGTAGTTCCACTTTGCAATTGCAATGCAGAATTAATGCTTAGACTGTACCTTAGTAAATGATTACATAGTCGTCACCTGGGCTTTGTAGCAGGATCATACTATTTGTGTAGCCCAGAACTGCCTGCCTGGTCTTGACATAGCTTTCTGGAATTTGAGGTGGAGTTCTTTCCCAGCAAAGGTTATCTATCTGTTCTTGGAGTTGCCAGGAAGTTGACCTGTATGCAAAATAAGTGCTGCTGGAGACTAGAAGCCTTTTCAGAGTCATCAGAAGGAAGAAACAAATTCAAAAATCAGTACTTTCTGTGAAAGAAGTCTGGTTTCTATGCATGGTTTTCAGTTATGGGAAGTTAATATGTGAACCAAAATGTTCCTTCCTCTTGAGATAGAGATAAAATTTGATACTAACAGAGCTGGAAGGGTATCAGTTCTTCTTATTTGTTTATTAATTTCTCATACTTGGATTCCCAGTGTGGTATGGTCTATAGAGTGACAGACTAGGACTCTGGAGAACAGGGTTCGAATCCTGACTTGGGCCATGGAATCTCACTGGAGGAGTGGAACTGGTAAAACCACTCCTTAAGTATCTCACTTCCTTTGAAACCCTATTAGAGTAGCTGTAAGTCAGTTCTGACTTGACAGCATAAAACATACACACACACTTGGTGGTGGTTTGTAATGTTGGCCAAAATCCTGTTAGTACTTGTGTAAGATTTGTGGAACTTGTGGTGGCTAATTATTTGAACAGCCTGGGCATATCTTGATCGCATGCCTGATTGCACATCCAAGAATGAGCCTAGGACCTTGTCAGTTAGTTGCTGCAAGTTGCAGAAACTTTATGTAAACACCAGCAGGATTCTGGCAGTCAGGTAGGGAAAGGGGTTTAGTTTCAGAATAGGTTTTTTTTTAAAGCTTTATAATGAAGCAATTGCCTGCACTTACCTTGTCAAATATATGAGTTTAACCTTTATTTTTTTTTCCTTTTAGATGGCAATCTCTGCTGTGGCTGGCATCCTCAAGCAATTGAAGAGGCCTCACAAAAAAATTCCCATCTGCCCTTTTCAAATCAGTAAGTGTGCTGAACAACAATAGCCTCAGGTGTGGAGCTGTTCTTAACAACTAAAACCTTTTAATTTGCACCTGTGAGTGTACATGTGAAATATGAAGTAGCTGTCCACACCCATTGATGAGATGGCATTCAGAAGCACAGATTCTTAATTTGATTCTGCCTTGAGTTTTTGGCCCAGGTGCTTTTAACCTTCTTGAGAATGGTGTTTTTTTTTTTAAATTCTGCCCTCTTAGCCACTCCAATTTTAATGTGAAAAACATAAAGCAATAGCCTATTGATAAGTAAAAACTGTGTCATGTATTTTGGTTAATTAAAACAGAACAAAATAAAAGCAGTTAAATAACGTCCTCCAATGCCTAAGTGAAATGTTGACATCTCTTTCAAGAGCATATTTCACAAAAGCTCTTTATACTGCATTTATTTTTCACTTCTCTGTTAATACACGGAGAGAGAAAAATATCACAAGGGCAGTAAGTTTGTCCATAACAACCACCCAAAGTTTCTTGGAACAAAGTTGCCTTCTGAAATTCGTATAGTTTTCAGAGTGTTAAATAATGGGCTGTTCCACTTCTCTTTAAGTATACATTCATAGTGGAGCTGTATAGCTTATTTATTCAGTTACCCAGAAAGCACTATGGTGGAGGTGGAGTGCAGTTTCAAAGACATAAAAGCATGCTCTGTGAGGGAGAGCTGCTAAATAGTCTGGTCCTGTACTTGTGCTCACTTAACATACATAAACCAGGAGATAGATTTTAAATTGTTTACTTGCACTGCCGTCTCCTTTAGCCTCAGATTCTAAAGTTTTCTCCCTAATTTAATGTCTGAATGAGAAGATCACTTTAAAAAGATGCTTTTATTTTTTTTTCTAAATGGAGAAAACTATGGTAAAAATAATTCAGATACCGTATCTTTCGCACCATAAGACGCACTTTCCCCCCACAAAACAGGGGTGGAAAGTCTGTGCGTCTTATGGAGCGAACAAAACAGATTATATTTTCCTGTTTTCTTCTCCTAAAAAATTGGTACGTCTTATGGAAAGGTGCGTCTTATGGTGCGAAAAATACGGTAAATAAGTTCTTCACGTCTTATAGTTCTTTTTATTCCATTGCTTCAAGATTTCCTTTTGATCTAAGCTTAATTATCCAGTTCTTAATTATTCAGCTTGCAGGTAGTTCTCTCCTCAGAGACAGGATTATTATGAATCTAACAGGGTACAGTTAGTACTGAATGGATTGTTGTGCAGAGGTGGGTAGTTTGGTAATGAGTCTGAGAAATATATTTAGTATGGACTCCGTACCTGATTATAACAGTCAGTCTCCCCGGGGTTCTTTTCATTGTTGATGCTACTTAAACATTAAAAAAATCATTGATTTCATAAGTTTCAGTGCAGTTCAGTTGCAGACCTTATTTGGCACAAGGTTCTGTGTACTTCAGGAGACCCAGTGTGGTATAGTGGATAGAGTGATACACTAGGAGACCTTGGTTTGAATCTCTGCTCAGCCATAGAAATTTGCTGGGGAGATGGAACGAGTAGAACCACTCCTTAAAAATCTCACTTACCTTGAAAGTCCTATTAGGATTGCTGTTGGTCAACTACATTTTGGTGCAGATCGCACATACACTTCTACAGTGGGTTATAATCCACAAGGTAAAGGTTCCCCTTGACATTTAGTCAGTCGTGTCTGACTCTAGCGGGTGGTGCTCATTTCTGTCTCCAAGCCATAGAACCAGCGTTTGTCTGAAGACAGTTTCGTTGTCATGTGGCCAGCACAATTTAGACCTGGAACACTCTTTTCCTTCCTACCGAGGTGGTCCCTATTTATCTACTCCCATTTTTACATGCTTTCGAATAGCTAGGTTGGCAGGAGCTGGGAAAGCAACGGGAGCTCACTCCGTCATGTGGACTTGATCTTACGACTGCTGGTCTTCTGACCCTGCAGCACAGCACAAAGGCTTCTGCAGTTTAGCCTGCAGCGCCACCAAGCTTATGCCAAATAAAGCTTATTCTTTTGTGTTTGTGATAAAATTGTTGAACTTTAATAAAATTAACCATGGCATATTAGTGAGCTAACTTTTGTAGCTTCTCTCTCTCTCTCTCTCTCTTTTAACGAACAGGTGGAACCTCTCGGCCTTCTAATATTCAGGCTGGTGACAGATCGGACAACCAGTGGCTGCATTATGAAAGTGCCAGTTTACCAAAGACAAAGCAAGCATGGGAGACCTGCCATTTTGTGGAGAAGACTCACTGGGGATACTACACCTGGCCTCAGTAAGTGGTAGCTTGGCTGTCCTATCCAGGCTGTGTAAAAGCTTCTCCAGCTGTCTGCTCACCAATTATCACTGTACCTCTCTCACACCTGGTTTGATATGGCAGTGTGTTTGAAACATCTAGTACTATTTTCAGTCAGTACCTGCTAGAATTCTCTATGCTTTTTTTCCCCTTTGCAATTTTTAGAAATATGGAAATCTATGCTTCAGCAGAAGAGCAACCAAAACTTGGAAGGTGTAGAAAGGAACTTTCAGAGGTGAATATAGTATTTTACATTTCTGCTGAAAATCTGTCTTGATCTGATTCAAGTTTGGGCATATATATTTATCTGTTTTATGACTGTGGGAGAGATGCATGATTAGAGATCTGTCTTGAGTTAACTATGTATACGCTAGTTAAAAGAGGAATGGAGAGATTGAGTCAACTATACACAGATTATCAGGTTGATAAGCTCCATGACTGCTGTGATCTACATGACTTATGTGTTCTTGTTTTACCTTGGAGATTAAGTGATTAAACTGTCTTATCTTTTGTTAATTTATTTCACATGCAAGCAACCGCACACAGTTATTCTGATCTGGTGCACATACGCATCTTTATCAATAATTGAAGCATGAATACAGTGCTCTTTTAGTTTAAGCAGTTGACAGATCTAGAAGTCAATTACCAAGTGTTCAGTAATGATATGTAGATAAAATGCATGTAGATCTATGTGTGTTTCAGTCTCCTGTGTCAGGGAAATGAGAATGAAGTAGGGAGCAGAATTGAACATGCACTATCAGGTCATTGGTCTATTTATTCCACCAGTGGCTTTCTAGCATCTCATGAATGTGGTTTTCCCATATATGCTACCTGAAGTCTGATGTACTTGGGATCGTTTATGTTTGGACACTACCTCTAAGTTACAGTTACTCCCCAGAAGTGATTTTCTATGGTTGTCTGGAGGTCCTTTGATCATTACTGTATTTTAGTGTATCAGTTTAATATATTATCACATTGATTTAGCAGCATATGTGTTTTACTGAATCTAAACATTCATCAGCCAAAATTCACTCACTTAGTGTAGTTAATCACACAAGAGTAGGCTGGTTGAATCAATGGAGATTTAGTGAGTTAGCTCCTCTGAAAGTTTCAGTGCTCCAAATGGGCCTACTCTAACTGTGACTTACTATGTTAAGCAGCAGGATTTTGGCCAGTGGCCTCCTGAGGGAAACGTAAGAGAGCCAAGTAACAAATTTCTGTAGAAAACAACCACATGAGGAGTTGCAAAGTTGCAAAGTTAAGGCATTATACATACTTTTCCTTGGCAAACCATATGAGGAGTTGCAAAGCTAAGGCATTATACATACTTTTCCTTGGCAAGAGTATAACTGACCCGAACTCTTTCAGTTATTCATATGAGTGTAAAAAAACAAAGTTGATTTTGAAGGTTACGTGCCACACGATTGAGACCATGCACTATTTAGAGGTTCTTTCACCGTGCAGGGCTGTTTTAACTTTTGAACTAATTAAGCAGTGTCTCTTCAGTTCACACCATTGTTTCTTTTTTTTACAGGCAGAACAAGTCATTTATGATCATTTTTCTGATCCAAAATTTGTTGAGCAGCTAATCAAGTTTCTTTCTTTAGAAGACAGAAAGGGGAAGGATAAATTTAATCCTCGCAGATTTTGCCTCTTCAAGGTGACTCGTTATATATTACTTTTATTATTTCTAAAGTAGACGGAATCCCTGCGAGAACAGCTATAAATCCTGTATTATACGGATGCATGCTGTTAAGGCGTTGCAATTGTTTTACCCAGATGTATTTGTGCAGATCTGGGGACCATTTAAAGGCTTTGTAAACTAATGGTTGTTGTGGGTTTTTCGGGCTTCTTGGCCATGTTCTGAAGGTGGTTTTTCCTAAC